TCTACATACGTTCTCATCACTATTACAGCTCTTTCACTGGCTATGCTGCCGACACCCAGCTAAATCCATGAGAAGTGCCCAGTTTGTGCTGGGGTGGGATATGCTTAATTAAAAAGGAAGTAAAGTTTTGCTATTACTATGTATATCTTCCATAAATATGTGCAGATATCTGCAGTATTACACATTAAATCTAAAGAGCATTGTCAGGTTCTTATTTTAACAGGTCTAAGTTGCAGGTGAGAAGGAACAGGACTGTAGTGAACTGATTCATAAAAAAGAAGCCACCTCTGTTTACCTCTGAAATTACAGCTAAGATTGTGGTGTGCTTCTGAGCTTGTATAGCAAGGAGCAAAGCAAAGGACATCAGGGAAACTCCTTTTTTTATCATCTCTACAAGCATGAAAGTGAACTATGGGTTCTGCATCCATAGAAGTGATACAAATAAGACAAGGGGACAAAAGTTGCTGCAAGATGACAGGCGGATGTAAGTATTCTACATGAAATATTGATGCTCCTGTATCATTTTATTGCATTCTATACATATAGATCATAAAGTATGGAGATTGTTCAAATTAAGCAATTCTGTTAATCAAAGCGTTCGGAATAAATGCATTCATCTTGAGCATATATGCTCTGTTTCTTTGAAATGTGGATCAGCCAAAGATGCTGAGCTGCCCGTGTTGGAATGAAGTGGGGTAGAGCCTAGAATCATAGAAACATAGAATGGTTTGGGTTGGAAGGGGCCTTAAAGCTCATCTAGTTCCAACCCCACCACCACAAGGTAGGGAAAACTTCCACCCGATCAGGTTGCTCAAGGCCTCGTCCAACCAGGCCTTGAACACTGCCAGGGATGGGGCAGCCACAGCTTCTCTGGGCAACCTGTGCCAGTGCCTAACCATCCTCACAGGGAAGAACTTCTTCCTAATACCTAATCTGAATCCACTCTCAGTTTAAAGCCATTCCCACTGTCCTCTCACTACATGAAGTTACAGCTTGTTTACCAGGGAAGTGAGAAAACATGCACATAAAGGAAACAGGCAGGGATCAAGGGTGAGAATTAGATCCTCTTTCTTCATTCTGAGTATTTAAAATATATTTAAGCCACATTTCCAGGTTTTGGTTGGAACCTTGCTCTTTTACATTACTCATAATGAAATACATGTTCATTGGATAGCTCTGAAATTAAGAGACACCAGATATCAGAAGACTTGCAGTGTCATCAAGAGAGGCCAACAATGTTTCACTAAACTTATTTCTTAAAAAGAAAAAGCAGCATCATTTGGATTAATGAAAAGACAGTAAATAAAAGCTTCAGTGGTGCATGAAAACACCAGTACAATCTCCCTGTATCTTTGCAGACTGTGCAAAATATATATATTTAGAATTTTTTAGCAAAATATATAGATAACTGAATCTGACTTCCTTTCAAGCTCTCCATTACTACATGAAGAATATGCATGACATATTTCTGTCAGCAAGCTAGAAAGCAACGTGAACGAAAGTATGCTCTGGAATACCCCAAGCCTGTTAATGGGACAGATTCCATCTTCAGAAGATGGCATTATACATACATAGACACTTTTATAAACAATGGGAATATGGATCACCTTCTTTGGGTTCTTCATTTTGTTTTTTTATTCCTCGAATATATTCTATGTGAAACAAAACGCTGCTTAACACATTGCTGCAGATATTGGAGGCATGAAAAGGTACAGTAAAGCCCTATATTTTAGATCATAGCTAGGAAGACAAAAGAAATGAAGCAAATTGAGAGTAAAGAGCTACATTATTTTTTTTTACCCAGAAAAAGTCAAAGGCTCTACCAAAGCTGCATATTTTGTGAAACAAAGTCAGAGACTAACATTGCTAAATTCAGCATGGAAGTGTTTAATTTCCCATAATTTAGCTTTCTGTTTGAAACAGACCACTGTGCCATGACAAGTACATACTAAAGGGGAATATGGAGGACATTTTATGACAAAAATGCTGTTTGGTAAAGTCTATGAAGTCTAAGTTTCCTGCTGATCTTACTCCAGACAATAACTGGGGGGAGGAAGAGGAACCAGGAAAAATGTTTATTAAAAATGACATTTGAGTTAAGAAAGCAAATTTTTTATAAGATATGAGTTCACCGAGGCTTTGAAAGAGGGTTTTTTTTAAGATGATCAAGTGATTGTCTTAGTAAGAAGCTTCATTAAATCTTTCTAAATCTGCAGAAATCATTTTAAAAACTTAACTAGTACTCACACACTTCTGCAGCTTAGACAAGTTAGCTATTTCTGAGATTAGCAAATTTTCCTTATGCTGCCATCTTGTGCCACACAATCCAAGCATACCCTAACAGAAAAAAGAAAAAGTGGGGGGAAAAGGGTGAAGGAAGTAAAAAACCAAACAAGCCACCACCTGTATATCTTTGGCCCACACAGCTGTAAAAATACCCTTCAAAATATAAGCAGGGCATACAGGGTAGAAAAAGTTTTGGCAGTGCCTACAGATAGGTTGGAACAACAGAGTCTTATGAAACAAGTCAGTGTTATAGAAAAGGGGAAGTTCATCTAAAATAGCATCACACTTTTGTTGCTATCTTGCAATATTTTCATCTTTAAATGCTTTTATTGCTAATAAAATTCAGTCTGACTCAACTATTGAGAACAGCAGTCCACCATGAGGAATCAGCAGGAGATGCTCCATCTGAAATCAGGCGAGTTCAGTTCCCAAGCAAAGTTCAGCACAGCTCTGCTGTTACTTAACTGCTTTTCTTTCTTTAAATTTCATCATTTACCCACAGCCAAGTAGATTCAAAAGTTATTTCAATTATGTGTTTCCCTTTACACTCACCTTGGCTTTCCAACTCCTAACATATTCGTTATGCCAACATTACTATTGTAGCATAAAATTCTTCACCCACCATCATGTTTTAAGAAGTCATATCTGTTCTGTCACTTCTGCCTTATTTATTTTTCTAAGAAGAAACTATTCAACTTTAACTACTGAAAAAAAAAATCACTAAATTCACCTAATGTATTTAAATAGTGGTTGTGGTAACAGTTAACAAATAGAGCTGTTTACTTATTTTGAATAACTTTCATATTTAATGGGTAATTTTCCTGACCAAGGCCCCCAAGGCTTTTCATGAGGACTAGTGCTCCATTAGTTTGGGTTCTGTAGAAATACAACATAAAATACAGGGGAGCGATGTGTACGGCTGGATGTGAGACAGTAAACTACACTGAGGCATCAGTAGTATACATGTGACAGACTTAACCTTTATTAAGTTTCCCTAGCCATTTCTGAAAGCTAGGAAAAGTACCGCTTTAAGGAAGGACGTGAAGGAAAATATTGAAATGCGATTGTGAAAGTTAAGGAATGCTCCTTCCAAGCATGATAGGACACACAGAGTGCTAGTTAATTTATTATGCACAGAAACACCACCAGGCTTTGTGTTCTTATGCTGTAGAACAATAAAAACCAAGCTGTCCTGTTTTGAGGAAAGTAACAGCAACATGACAAGAGTGCTACAATATAGCATTAATGATCAGTCTGACTAGTTGTGTAATGCAAGTAATAGTAAAGACGGCTCCACAGCATTATTGCCTCTTCTTCCTTCTACCTGTCTCTTAAAATACTACCCTTCTATTATCCTGTCCTGGCAGAAATTATATAAAATCTATATCTCTTATGATTTTTTTTTTTTTTTTTAGCTAAACTGCAAGAATCATCCTTTTTCCCGCTTAAGTCCCCCCTGTAAAGAACAGGTACATGCATGCTTTCCACCTCACATAACTTCTTCACTCCAAAACCCCTAAAACTCTCCCAAATCCCCCATGCTGAGAACCTAGACCAGATGATTTTTGAAAGCCTGCAAGGGTAGACAACCTCTGAGAAGAGCCTCCATGCACCTGATGTCATCATCCAGGTGGGGGACAACGCCTACAGAATTGCACAGGCCTTGGCATCAGCCGTATGGAACACCACTGGTAAATCGTCAGATGCTGGTTACACCTTGAGCAGTCATGTGCTATGATTTTTGCTCAGCAATTCAGCCAGTTTCACACCCACCTGGCAGGCAGTCCATGCACCCAGGCTAGATTTAATGCACTTGTTTCCCATCTCTAGGTTGCCTGAAAGCTGCCCTCTGGGTTTTGGAGTAGTTCATAATAATTGTGCAAAGTACGAAGCACATACGTAGCCCATACAAGCTTCCACAACTCTTCCCCGTGTTCCTGATTAATGCCAGGAAATAAAGATAATTTTTCTAGGAATGCGCATACTTGCGTATCATGTTTATGTCTATCAGGAGATACTCTTTATGAAAAATTAAGAAAATGCTGCTACAAGATTCCCTCATTTCCAAGTGAAATTTTGAAAAAGTGCACAAACTGGACACAGCACTACAAAGTTTTCCCAGAGACATTGATACTACCAAGAAACCAGAAGGACAATATTCTTCCCTCTATTTGTAGTATTGCCTATAATCTCTCACCTTCATAGTACAGACCTTTAGTATAGAATAAAGCTAAAGCAAAGGAGTTAAGAAATAAAAGTCTTTCATAGATGGTACAGATGCCTTCAGAACTACCCTTCCTGAAACAGATTTTAGGCCACAGCTTCTGCACTTGCTTGAAAAGGCAGAAAGACAGAAATAGCTTGATATTTACTAACATTAACTAGTTTATTGGGGCTATAAATAATTTGCATTGGTTCTGGGACCCTGTTGTTGTACAATAACATCAGACTGCTAAACCTAATCCATAGTTCACATCCGAGAAACATAAGGCAAGATGTCTTGGTCTAGCCAAGTATGAAAATAACATCACTGGGGAAAGATACCCAAACCGATAGGACCTCAAATCATGTTCCTGATTTCCTACCATACACGTATGACACTAAAAAAAAAAAAAAAAAAAAGAAAAGCCTTGGATTGGTGATATTATTATTTATATTAATTTAAACTACTGAACAACACTTCTAGTGTCAAAAGTATAAAATGTGGTGTTTACTTCTCACAGGATTTCACAGGAGGTTATACTCAAAAAGTGACTTCCAAAGCATGATGAGTTTTCATTCAGGCAACTTCAGTTCATATCACTACATCAGGAAAGCATTATGCACAGTGAAATGAACTACAACAAACATAAGGAATTTGGCAAAATTATCCACAGTACCTAAGAACAGATTTTGTAAATGACAAAAGGAATGGCAAACCATACCCACTCAGCTTTGCAGGTGCAGAACATCCTTAAGATTCCATGAAAGAAAGAAAAAAAAAAAGAAGAAAAAATGATAATAAAAAAAATTAGGACAATGTTTTCCTCATTTATGACCTCAATTATATGTGCTTCTGTGAGTACAAGAAAGAGGACATATCATTAAATGCAACTTGCACAGCAAACTAATCCTATACCTTGATGGAAACAAAACACCATGGGTATTGTGGCTAACTTGTAAGCAATAGCACAAATGCTTCTCTGGCAGGGCTAGGTTAGCTCAGCAGATGAAACCATTACTGCTTCCAGGTGGTAGTAGTGGGGGTGATGTCTTCTCAGTGCTCAAATAAAGGATGACAAGAAAAAAAAAACATGGCATAAATAATAAAGAGACGTGGGATCAGAAAGACATTATGTTTCAGATTTGTTTTAATGATATTTCACAATATTTCACAGTAAGGCCAGATGTTGCTCTCCCGTGTCAAAGAAGGCCAGTTGCTATATCTCAGATTCAGTATTTTCATCTATTTTAGTCATCTGTCTGCATTACTATCTGTCTACTTGGTACTGAGCTTACTTTCTTTTAAAGAAAGAAAGCATCAGCTCTTGGAGATGGACAATTCTTGCAACATTTTCACACTTACAGACATTACAAAGGTCAGCAAGCTGGGAGCTACCAGGTAAACTATTCCTTTGCACGTTCAGTGTTCCCATACTAGGGATGGGTTCATGGAAAGGAAGCAAGAAGTAAATATGTGATCCTCAAAGGCAGAGATAAGTGATTGTCTTCTGGTGGCCTTCATCCCACTACAGAGAAACAGAGGAGCTTTATTTCCTTTAAGAGGTGTAGAAAACTGGGAGCAAGAAGTCATTCAGCTGTAACCCAGAAGCGCAGGGGGCTTCCAGGTGACCTAAAACAGTTCAAATAAATAACTTTTCACATGGAACCAGAAGATTGATATAATGCTAAGAAGTCACAATTCCTTCAGATGGACAGAGCTATGGAGCACGAGCAGCATGAAGATTTAGGGATAATTGTGGGATCTTCAGAGCTCCAGCAAAACCTACACACCCAGCAGTTCTGGGGAGTACACCAGGTGAGCTATGAAGATAAATGTACTGAGTCAGCTGTCACTAAATAAAGATGGGACTCCTGTGATTACTGATCTAAGTGGACATTGGACTGGAAAATACAGCACTTTGTGTCCAGACGCAGCTGTGGCACAGTCCAGAAAGTCTTCAGTGTCTGCACTGCAGGCACCTTCTCCAGCTCCTTTTACAGAGCTGCAGCATCTGACAAGGCCATCCATCCTGCAATGCATTTGGGAAAAAAACTTAGACTTCAGGAGGGTATCTGTGAGCATTTTAATTCTGTTAAGATCAAAATAATGATAATAGTCAAAACAAGGATAATAGTCACAAAAAAATTCCCCCTCCCAAAAGAGTCCTAGAAATCCTAATTTACTGACTGGTAGCTAGTTTCACTAAACAGAAATATAGTAATTTAATAATCTTACCATAGCAGTTTTCAGTAAGGAAAATTAACTAATTCATTATCACTTATAATTTGCTGAGGCATAGCTGCCATATTTGTAAAATCAGCAGGTTCAGAAAAAAGCAAGTTTTTAATGAATGTTCTTTTTTTTCCTTTCTAGATACATAAATGATACAATTACTTAGCTCCCTCTAGTGCCAATTTCTAAAATAAATTTCCCACTAATGACTGTATTCACCAATGTAATCATAGGAGCAAATTAAAAATTCACTTGGCAATAATTAACTAGTGAACTCTCAAAGGATTTAGTAAATTGCCATGAACTGAAGCAGAATTCAACTAGTGTCACAATTACAGAGAAAGGTCAAATGTAGGCTCTTTGAAATAACAAAAATATGACATCAATGTTCAGACACTCTGTATTTTGAACAATTGAGGCACACATGCCAATAAAGAAGAGCAGTCAAGGAGCAGCTATAGCAAGTGCAGTAGCTCTATCATTCCTCTGACATTTTCAATGCTATTATTAAAGTTGTATCTGTGGGTTTTTTTCATTTGCAGTCTTCATTTTTAAGGATTGATAATTTTGCTTTCTAAAGATACTCCAGGCTGAAATAGGGCACACACCTAGACTTTTTTTTTAAGCAGTAAAAAAAAATCTTTTTTTTTGGTTTGTTCTGGATTTTGAAAATGGGTAAAAAATAGTATCATATACAGTTGCCTTGTTCATAGATTCTTCCCTTGGTATATTCTTTTGGCCATAGAAGGTGCTGAGCTAGACCAAACTTTGAAATAATCCCATAGAAGTACTCTAAATTAATTAGTAATAATAATAATAGTCACTAGTAGAACTAATAACACACAAGCATTCAGTGCATGCAGAGGAATGCTTCTGCTCATCCAGATGTTGGAGGAAAGAGAACCACAGGGGCAGGAAGGGTCCTTAGCTGGTATCACTGGTATGGTTCCTATGAGTTACACTGTGAATAAAAATAACCATAAACACAGCCATATGAAACATTTTGTTTGTTAGGATATTTGGGGCTTTCTTATAATTGTGGTGTGGATGGTCTTCGCCCCATTTCTAGGTTCCTTTGCTATCTTCATATAACCCACTTCAAGAAGAAATAAATATTCTCTGCAGAACATATGTTCTAATTACTTTTTGCTTGGGGTTTCAATATTGTAGCCATTCTGCAAACACAGGTCTGTACACTAGTCCATGCTTAACTTGGAAGAGATGGCACAGCCTACCAGGAACTAGGTGTCGATACTACAATATGAGTTTTCATATAACCATTCTATGATTCTATGGTTCTATGAATATATATTGAGATAAAACCAAGGACTGAGGTGGGTTGAGCTTCCACCAGCATGAGTTTGGCAAGCCCCATTGTTCAGTTACCAGATTAAACATCAGTCTGGGTCAGGCAGTTAATTTATGGTTACAGAATCATCTCAAAAGCATCTCATTTCCAGGAAATTCATCTCTCTCTTTTGAGTTACAAAGAATATAAACCCAGCAGTTCTTTACAAGGCCTGATAAACACTATATGCAGTGGCAATGCAAAAAAAAAAAAGGTTTTCCAATATAAATACAACATTTTTCTTTTACTTCCCATTTTTCTTAATCCCACCTTGGATTCACTTATTAAATACCTACTCCACATACCACAGCAATGACAGTAACCAACTGATAGGACAACTAGCTTTCTGCAAACACCAGCCTTAGGGCTTTCTGTAGAAACTGAACTAAACATTTATATTAAAAAAAAACAAAACAAGCAACTAAGCTCTTGTTAAGTATGTGAAGGAAAGGGTAGTCGACCACCTCTCTGTGATCTGAGTCAGACTTCAGTCACCCCTTCTACAGGGAAGCTGAGTCTCAATTCCAGGTTGAAGTGGCCTAACGTCAACTTCCAATACTGTCTGCAAAGTAAAAAGAAAAACAAGAAACAGAACCTCCAAAGAGCAGCTAGTATCTTTCTATTCCGAAGCAGCTCAGAAGGCACACAGGTCACCTCCAAACCATCAGTGACATGAAGGCTGACCTCCTTAAACCTCACATCGTCAGGCTCATTTTCAAACAAAACTGTATTTGTAGTCATCGTGTGAACTCTTGTCAGCAAGTTCATGCTCCTCCTGGAAGTGCAGACACTAGAAATAAAAGAGCAGCCCTGCAGCCCTCTTAACATCACTTGCTGTCTCTGGGTGATAGCCCATTTTGTAATTCAGGGATTCCAGTAAGTTTCTCCTGAGGGCTCATGTGAACCAGCTGGTTGGTGAGGTTTCTGGGAGGCCCCAAGGTCCCTGTGTCAAAGAGTCCGGGCAATGTCCCAGACTGCCTGATTTCCTTGCAGGCATATTTTCTTCATTTTGGCTTTACTGAAAAATGTTTGAAACACCCTGTCCGCAGCAGCTCATGGAGTTCCTCACCTGCTTCTTTTAAGAATCTTGAATGGAAGTCAGCTGGTAATATGGAAATAGTCAGTTTAAGCATATGTTGTCTCACAGAGAGGGAATTTTCACATTTCATCCATGCCTGTCTTTTTTTTTTTCCTCTCCTCCTATTTCTGTTAATTAAATGGGTAATAGCAATTGATTTTAATATTCCAGTTAAACAGTCTATCCCACAAAATGTCAGTAGTTCTATCAATACCACTAAACAGCATCTCCACCTCCACTGTTGTGGTCTTTTCAGTAAGAAGAGACCTAAATACAGAGACACCTAAATTAGCTGTATGACATTAGTTACAGTCTACATTGAGATTTTCTAGCTCAACCATAAGCATCCATATTGTTTCTGATCCTTAAAAAAAAAAAACCAAAAAAAAACTAAGAAGGGCTTAAATAAATATCACTGCTGTTAAAGAACATATCTTTATTACCTGTAGAGCAAAAGAAGAATCTGAGAGATAGACATTCAAAGCAACACGCAACCAGTTTTTTGATGCAGGCCCTCAACCCTAAACCAGATTGCTTGCTTTGTGCAAAGAGCTAACAAAAAATGCTCAAAATTATGTCAGATAAAGTGAGGAGTACATTTATTAGCATTCTGCAAATAGACATGGCCACGTATTTTAAAGCAATATTTTAAAAGCAAGTATTTTAGAAGGAAATATTTTAAAAGCAATTGAAAAGAATGAAGTCTAATAATAATTATATATTTTTAAAGCCATGTGAAAGAATAGATCATATCAGATTAGATTAGATTAGAAGAGAATAGAATAATGTATAATGCATGACAAAATAAAATAAAATCAATTCAGGATAAAATTTTAGATAAATATTATGTTCTTAAAAAACACATAAATATTTTTTCAATCTTCAGAGAAAGATCTCTCATAAAACTGGTCCCAGTTGATCTATAACTTATACAAAAAATTTAGATTTTCCACTTTGGCACCAAAATGTAGGCTTCTATATCTATTTTCATTATCAAATTATCTAGTTGGGATTTCAGAAATGTCAAGAACCCCACCTGCAGCTGGTATCATTGAACAGTATCTCAGAAATCAAATAATTTTTAAATGCACACAGTGACTAGTCAGTACTTTCTGATACAATTATTTTCTATACAAAACTGTATTTAAATGAAGATTAAGAATGAGCAGATGATATTGTTTTCCTTTATATTTTTTCTCATTCAAAAATCCTTTTAAACAAAAAATTTATAAAATTATTTTTTATTTACTTTTGTGTTAGTTTTTCAATTTAGATAAACAGTATTTTAATGGCAGCTGAAATTTTCTACTCAGATAATTAAAACCAAGCAACTTACGTTCAATAAGATTTTTCTAACCTGTTTAGATTTTATGGCAAGTTTTTCTGAATACAACTGCATTTGTCCAACTTTCATCAAACAAAATGGAACCATTTAACTCCAGATTCTCAGTTTTGAAGGGTGCATGCTTTATGCAGACTCAGCATGTGTTTTTGCATATGGG